TCAGAATCAGACCGCTTCTTTCTTCTGTCTGTGTGGGTGTGTTTGGTCAGAGCGTGGACCGAGCGCAGCTCTTCTCTTTATCATCATCGAGTGTTGCTTTGTTGAGATGAGTCAGCGGCGATCATGATGCTCCTCTCACAGAAATTGTTTAGGAGCGTGTGGGAACCTGAGAGCGGATTCACTGCAGAAAACAGCCCTGAATATCCATACGCAGAGGTCTGCATGCATTGATCTTCTGAGCTGCATATACTGGAGAATTCATTTAGAGTTTGACCTTTTTATCCTTTTTTAAATTCATGTTCCTGGTCTTGATGTGAATGATTCATCTGTGCATGTTAAACAAATCAAAATGTAACTCGCTCAACTTCTGGAACTACTTTTGTTTTTGGGAAAGTCATCAATTGCATCGCTCACTTTTCACCGTCTAATCAAAAAAATCAATAAAAACTCCAACTTATTTTATTTCAGCTAGTTGCCAAGGCAAGCTTTCTCATTTTTGTTCAGTTTAACTAAAACTAATAAATACAAATTTATAAAAACATATATAGACAAAATAACTACAACTAATAAGAATGACAAAAACACAACAAAATCTAAATATCTAAAATTAGAAATAAAAAAAAATAACTATCAAATTAAAGTGAAAACAAAATATAAATTATAAAGTCCAATACAAAATATTAACAAAACTATAAAAGTATATAATAGGTGTTGCTACTGTATATATTTGATGTTTAATATGCAGTTATGTGATTTAGGTTAAGTAATTAATAAAAACTAGACATATAAAAAAAATAAAAGGGCAATAACTTTAACTAAAATTAATCAAAACAGAAATATAAAAATAAAAGTCAAAATATTAAGAAAAACTATAATAGTATATCAATGATACTAAAATAACAATATATATATTAGATTTTTATATGCAGTTATGTGACTATTAATCTAGAAATATTATAAGCAATAGAGCTAATTAAAAAAAACTACAACTAAACTATATTGAGTAAAAATGTGAAATTAATAAAAATGTCAAAAGCACACAACAATTGAACACAATCTAAAATTAGAAATAAAAAAAAATAACTCAAAGTGAAAAAATCAACTTCAAAATATAAAAAATGAACAATACTACTTTATATATTTGATGTCTAATATGCAATTATGTGAAGTGGCTACTTTATATATACAGTATATATTTACATTACCAACTTCACATATAGTTACATCACATTGCCAAAAAGTACAGTAAAAAGGTTTACTTTAAAAAAAATAAACAAATAAATTAAATCAAAATGTAACTTTTATTTAACTTCTGAAACAACTTTCCTTTTTGGGAAAGCCATTAACTTCACCCATCACCGTTCACCATCCAAATAATGAAATTGATCATTTTGTTATTATTATTTTCAATTGAATATCCAGTTTTTTGTTGTTTTTATCACTTTATTTTCTTGGAAGCATGTCAGACTATGTGTATTTGTATCAGAACGCAGTTCATAATGCAACACAATGGTGTGAAATGGTGCTTGTGAAGCATTTGCATTCATGTTTGAAGCTTAAATGAACTGGACTCCATCAGCTAACTGATAAATACACTGACGTTTTACTGCTCAGATCAGGCAGAAAGATCCTTGAAGTAACTGCACATGTCATTTTTATAGTATATCACAAATGCATTTTCTAAAGGCAAAAGCTGTGCTGTTTTTACAGTGAATCAGTGCAGATCTGCTGTAATGAAGAGTGTGGAAACGCCGAGACTGCCGTAAGAGCCTCGCGCTACAAACGCTGCTTTGAATTAGCCTGAACAGGAGAGAGACGTCAGCACATCAGAAATCGCCTAAAAGCCTCCGTTTAATTTCATTCCAGCCGTCTCGTTTTCCAGAACTGATTGCTTTTGTATTCCATTATCTAAAACAAAACCGGGACGAGATATGGCCGAATGCAAATGCGACGCCTATTTGTGTCAGCCTGTCCTCGTCAAAGAGTTTAATTTCAGGTTTAAAATGTAAATGTGGCCTCCATCTGTTTGAATAGAGTTGTGTTCATTTATTAGCACGGGAGGGTCACTGGAATAAACGCCTTTGCTTTGAGTTTGAATGATTTAGTTTAGTGTGATGTTCTAAAATAACTAAAACTAAAACTGAAATAAAAATTTATAAAAACTATATATAAAATAAATACTAAATATTGAAAAAAACATTACTAAAACGCTATTATTAAAATGAAAACATAAATTATAAAAATAAAAACAGATTCAAAATATTAATATTAAAACTTTAAAATTTTAACACTGTTACAAGCAAAAAATGGTTTTATTTTTAATTACCTATAATAACCCTGGTACATATGGGACATGAAATGAGTATATAATGCAATAAGTATATAATGAGTTTAAATAAATATACATGAACTACATGTACTGTCAAAGTAATCAGGAGAATTAAAACCTGATATGACAGTGAACTAGCATTACTCAACATACAGTGATTTAATACACTTCTATCAGTAAATATCTTTAAAAAAAGCATTTTACATGAAGCCACAAGCAGCACAACTGCTCTTTGCTTCAGCATTGAGCGCATATTCATAACTAGTTGCTTTCAGATGGTACAGTACACTGATAATTGCTTCTGTGCAGTTAGAGAATGAGGCAGGTCTGAGTAAAGAATATTAATCCATCACTAATTAGGGCCTGCTGTACTGGATTATATTTGGCATAATGGGCCGGTCATGATTCATCAGACCTGTACGGCGTCCTGTTGTTCCTCTACATTGTTCAGCAGCTCTTTATTCTCTAACGGCGCGTCATTGTGTGCTAAAACACCGTCAGAGTCTCACGTCTGCAGAGAAAAAAAGTCAATTCATTACTGAACTGACATATGAAATAATAGTCAGAATTTTTTTCCTCATTTTTTAAATGGAACAGTTGATTGAAAAAAAAAAATACTTTGCATACTTGACCTTGAAAATCTTGAAAATCATATAGTCATTTGCATGATTCATGTACCGGTAATTGAATGTGACGAATGTGTTTTCCGGTGTGCGTTTTCCATATTAGGCATATGGGGGGGAAAAAGTACTTAATGTCTTTTTTTTTTAGTTTTTGAAACAAGTATCTTATGCTCTGCTTAAAGCTGCATTTATTTAATCAAAAACAGCAGTAAAAAGATCAATACTGTGAAATATTATAATTTAAAGAACTGTTCTTTGTTTTAATATATGTTAAATGTAATTTATTCCTGTGATGCAAAGTTGAATTTTTTTCTCACAATTCTGCATTTACATACCGCAATTCTGCATTTATATTTCGCAATTCTATTTATATCTTGTAATTCTGTTTATATATCGCATTTCATATTTTTTCTTGCAATTCTGAATTTATATCTTGCCATTCTGTTTTTTTTAGTTTCTACCATGAAATAGGTAAATAAATAAAGTAAATGTTGCAGTCGTGGCCTAATGGTTTGAGTCTCGGTTCCACCCTCAAATCTTCACTCCGGGCGACGAAATAATGTCTAACATTAGCCATTGGCTAATAAATTCTTCAATTTTACTCACCAGTGTGTGTGTGAGAGGCTAATTACAAGTTTCACAGATATATTTTCACTCGCTGAACACTGAGCTCTTGAGAGTTTCGCTCTCCGTCAACCGATCTGTACTATTTCTGTGTTGATATCTTGCAATTCTGAGTTAATGTTGTGCAATTTTGCATTTATATCTTGCAATTCTGCATTTATGTTGTGCAATTCTGCGTTTATATATCTCTCAATTCTGTGTTTATATATCTTGCAATTCTGCGTTTATATATCTCTCAATTCTGCATTTATATCTTTGCAATTCTGCGTTTATATACCTCGCAATTTTGTTTATATATCTTGCAATTCTGCATTTATGTTCTGCAATTCTGTGTTTATATATCTCGCAATTCTGCATTTATATCTTGCAATTCTGCGTTTATATTCCTCGCAATTCTGTGTTTATATATCTCGCAATTCTGCATTTATATCTTGCCATTCTGAATTTATATATCTCGCAATTCTGCATATATTCCTCGCAATTCTGTGTTTATATATCTCGCAATTCTGCATTTATATCTTGCCATTCTGAATTTATATATCTCGCAATTCTGCATTTATATCTTGCCATTCTGAATTTATGTTGTGCAATTCTGCGTTTATATATCTCGCAATTCTGCATTTATATCTCACAATTCTGTTTATCTCGCAATTCTGCATTTATATATCTTGCAATTCTGCATTTATATCTTGCAATTCTGAGTTTCTTTTCTCGGAAATGCAAGAAAAAAGTCTGAATTGTGAGATAAATAGTCGCAATTATCTTTTTTAAAAATTTTATCCCGTGGCAGAAACAAGCTTCCATTAAATCTTTTATATAATTCCTTTAAATAAAAAGACCATTACAACTGGGGCCTTTTCAATAAAAATGAAATAACTGGTCCTCCCCAGTGTTCAAGACATGGTTAAGGCCATCTCTGGTGTTGTATTAAAGTAACCCGTCCCATGGAGAACATCAGCCTGATCCTGTTGGTGAAAGGCGTTGCTGTTGTTGTTGTTATGATGTGGGACTCGTGTGCCATCGATGCCCTAAGGACCGTTTACACACTCGATCTCCTCCAGAAGACATTATCTGAGCTGACAGCAGTCGATTTCAGAGGCAGCTCCAGCTTCAGGATTGAATAAACACCATAGATGGCTTGGGAAGGGGTCGGGACCCGTGATGTCAGGAGGCCAATCTAATGCAAACCCACTTTCTATATCTGGCACAATGTGAAAACTCACTCGCTGCGGGAGCTTCTCTCGGACTCGCGCTCGCACCGTGGGATTCGCCTAATATTCATTAGAAAGATTCATTTCGCTGCACGTAACAGGTGCGATTGCTAACGTTAATTGTTTTGGCAGCGTCGCAGCCTCATAATGGATCAATATTTGTCATTGGGCTGCATTCCAGCGCTGAGATTACAAACGTCGTCGCTGGGAGAATTACAGGCTCTGAGGAGCCACCAACACATTGAAAATGATTGTTAATACGCTGCACGAGCGGCTGCCATCCAACAGCCTGTGGCCCAGTGATGTCTGTGTGAACAAACCCGAATTACTGAACGGGAACAGCCGCAGTGCTGCCGGTCACCAGAGCCGTTACTGAGGTTTATAGGTGGTTTCTTACTGTCTGAAGGTAAAAGAGTCCTGGTCTCTAGATGTGACTTGGTTTTTTATGTATATATCAGCATTATATTGGCCACTAGCCCTTTAGCTATCTAGATATATGTAAGAATTCTGTTATTGGATCTACATTATCGTTCAAAAGTTTGGGGTCTGTAAGATTTTTCACATTTTTTCTAAAGAAGTCACTTCTGCTCACCAAGGCTGCATTTATTTGATCGAAAATGCAGTAAAAATAGAAAAACTGTGAAATATTATTAAAATAAAATTAAAATAGCTATTTTCTATGTGAATATATGTTAAAATGTAATTTATTCCCGTGATCAAAGCTGTATTTTCAGCATCATTACTTCAGTCTTCAGTGTCACATGATCCTTCAGAAATCATTCTAATATGCTGATTTGCAGCTCAAGAAACATTTCTGATTATTATTATTATGTTGAAAACAGTTGTACTGCTGAATCTTTTTTTTCCAGGATTTTTTGATGAATAGAAAGTCTAAAAGAACAGTATTTATTTGAAATATAATTTTTTTTGTAACATTATAAATGTCTTTACTGTCACTTTTGATCAATTTAATCTGTCCTTGCTGAATAAAAGTATTAATTTATTGTAAAATAAATAAATAAATAAATCACTCACCCCAAACTTTTTAACATTTGTGTATTTTAATTAAAATACAATCCATTATTACAACATGACACATAACCAAATCCAAATGTTAACATTTCCCACACAGCAAATATATGTGTAGTTCATAAAAATATTTTAAATATATGTTAAACAGTGAAGGTCAGTGAAATATCCATTTGAAATAGAAAATATATTTAGTTTCAACTTTCATATACTAAAATATATTTCTAAATGTATCTCAGGGGCAAGAAAATACATTTCCAGTCTTAAGAGTATTAGTTTCAACTTTCATATACCAATATATATATATATATATATATATAAACAATTATTTCAGGAAAATGAGTTGCCTATAGAGAGGCTAAATGCAAATGAGTGAATTAGCATACTAGAGATCAAACAAACATTATAAAATATTTTTTTCATATATTGTAATCTTGTAATTTTGGGCACATTGTAAAGTACTTTCCTTGCTGATTTTTATTCAGATGTGTTATATGTTCACATGTGTTACAGACAACAAATAAAGTTCTTCAAATTGATGTATTTTCTTGGATTGAAATATATGGATGGCAAAATATATTTTAAATGCTTATATATTTGTTTTAATTTCGTCAAATATACATGAAAGTTTTTTTTTTTTTTGCTGTATGGGTTAGCAAAAATAACAGATTTCTCATTAAGATTCAAACTGTGATATGTGTGTTTGAGAAGTTTGGATGAATCAAAAACTATAACCATATAAACAATTATTTCAGGAAAATGAGTTGCCTATAGAGAGGCTAAATGCAAATGAGTGAATTAGCATACTAGAGATCAAACAAACATTATAAAATATTTTTTTCATATATTGTAATCTTGTAATTTTGGGCACATTGTAAAGTACTTTCCTTGCTGATTTTTATTCAGATGTGTTATATGTTCACATGTGTTACAGACAACAAATAAAGTTCTTCAAATTGATGTATTTTCTTGGATTGAAATATATGGATGGCAAAATATATTTTAAATGCTTATATATTTGTTTTAATTTTGTCAAATATACATGAAAGTTTTTTTTTTTTTGCTGTATGGGTTAGCAAAAATAACAGATTTCTCATTAAGATTCAAACAGTGATATGTGTGTTTGAGAAGTTTGGATGAATCAAACACTATAACCATAGAACCATCAGGTTGCCACACTGGGTTTAAAACCACTTCTCCGCGTCTCACCTGGGACCGAATGAGGTTTGAGCGCCGCAGTTTAAACACAAGCCACTTTACTCTTTCACTTCCTGCGTGAATTTGCATGTGTTTTTTCCTCATAGAGACTCACATTAATTCCTCACATTAGAGCCTCTTTGCTATTCATGAATCTCCACAGCAGAGTTTAGCTGCATTTAGACGGCAAACACACATGCTTTACATGCTTTGCTTCATTTAAAAATGCAAAACTATTTCTAATTGCTAGATAATTATTATGCATGCCCTGTTTACGAGTTAAAATTAACCGAGAGGCTACATCAAATATTTGTAGTTTTAAAAATTCATGTTACACCTCAGGACTATTTAACGCGAACTTGCGAAGGAAAAGAAAGTTCATTAAATTATCAAATTTAACAAGTTGCATGACCTAAAATATACATTTTTCTTTGCACATGCAGTACTGTTCAAGTTTGGGGTCGGGAAGAGATTTCTTTTTAGGAAATTAATACTTTTATTCAATAAGGATGCATTAAATTGATCAAAAGTGACAGCCAAGACATTTATAATGTTACAAAAGATTTCTATAAAAGAAAACAGTTATTTTAAATTGTAATAATATTTCACATTTTTTACTGTATTTTTGATTAAATAAATGCAGTCATGGAGAGCAGAAGAGACTTCTTAACAAAAAAGCCATCCCTAATACACATACACAAGCATCATGTCATATATGTACCGTCCCTCCACGCCTCCAGGTCCATTGATGGGACGTTCCCGCAGAACACAAAGTCCTCTGGGTAAGATCCCAGTCTGAACGGATCGAGGGGAACCTCCGTCACGCCGCTGTTGTCACAGATGACACGAGACAGAGAGTGGGTTTGGAGTTCCTGTCTTTGTTTTGGGGAAAACACACCAGGATGTTCCCACCAGAATCTGAAACACACAACAGAAATATCAACAGTTTGACTGATGCGATGTCTTATTCTTGTCATTTTGACATGACTAAGTTAATCATTTCACACACACACACACACACACAAAAAAAAACACAAAATAAAACTGCGCTGCAAAAATGATTTTCTTATTCATTATTTTTGTCTTGTTTTCCAGTGTAAATATCTAAACAAATAACAAGCAAAATTATTAAATATTAAGTCTTGTTCTCTGAAAAATTAAGTTAAGTTTGAAATTGATTCATGAGTCTTTTTGACCGATTCACTCAGAAGAATCAGTTCATGAGAGTCGCACTATTTGAACTACAACTGCAATGCGATGTCTTATTCTTGTCATTTTGACATGAACTCAGACTATGTTAAACATTTCACACACACAAAAAAAATAAATAAAACTGCGCTGCAAAAATGATTTTCTTATTCAGTATTTTTGTCTTGTTTTCCAGTGTAAATATCTAAACATTGAAAGCAAAATTATAAAATATTGAGTCTTGTTCTCTGAAAAATTCAGTTAAGTTTGAAATTGATTCATGAGTCTTTTTGACAGATTCACTCAGAAGAATCAGTTCATGAGAGTCGCACTATTTGAACTACAACTGCAACTCTTAAGAACTGGTTCTTTTGAGGAAATCAGTTAAAAAAGACTCTCATTTTAATTTGAATTCAACCTAATGTTTAATATTTTTAAATTAAAGAACCATTAATGATAACAAAACTCTGATCTGAATCAGCCCTAAGCAAACCAATAACTCATTAGTTTGAAATGGATTCATGATTCTTTTTGACCGATTCACAAAAAAGCAAAACTCTGATATGAATGAGCCCTAAGCAAACCAATAACTCATTAGTTTGAAATTGATTCATGAGTCTTTTTGACCGATTCACAAAAAAGAATCAGTTCATGAGAGTCACACTAATTGGACCACAACTACAACTCTTATGAACTGCTTCTTTTGAGGCAATCAGTCAAAAAGTGGGAAATAATTATCGTAATTTTAAAACTCTGGCCCGAATGAGCCCTAAGCAAAGTAATAACTCATTAGCTTGATTTTGAATTGCTGCAAAAATGATTTTCTTATTCATTATTTTTGTCTTGTTTTCCAGTGTAAATATCTAAACAAATAACAAGCAAAATTATTAAATATTAAGTCTTGTTCTCTGAAAAATTAAGTTAAGTTTGAAATTGATTCATGAGTCTTTTTGACCGATTCACTCAGAAGAATCAGTTCATGAGAGTCGCACTATTTGAACTACAACTGCAACTCTTAAGAACTGGTTCTTTTGAGGAAATCAGTTAAAAAAGACTCTCATTTTAATTTGAATTCAACCTAATGTTTAATATTTTTAAATTAAAGAACCATTTATGATAACAAAACTCTGATCTGAATCAGCCCTAAGCAAACCAATAACTCATTAGTTTGAAATGGATTCATGATTCTTTTTGACCGATTCACAAAAAAAGAATCAGTTCATGAAAGTTGCTCTAATCAAAAGTAATTTTAAGAAAGTAATTTTACAAAACTAAAACACTTTTTTTTTTAACTTATCTTAATGCTTAATTTTTTCATTAAAGAACCATTTTTGATAACAAAACTCTGATATGAATGAGCCCTAAGCAAACCAATAACTCATTAGTTTGAAATTGATTCATGAGTCTTTTTGACCGATTCACAAAAAAGAATCAGTTCATGAGAGTCACACTAATTGGACCACAACTACAACTCTTATGAACTGCTTCTTTTGAGGCAATCAGTCAAAAAGTGGGAAATAATTATCGTAATTTTAAAACTCTGGCCCGAATGAGCCCTAAGCAAAGTAATAACTCATTAGCTTGATTTTGACTTGTGAGTCTTTTTGACTGATTCACTCAAAAGATCCAATTCACGAGAGTCGCACAAACAAGACTTAATATCTTATGTCATTCTGCGTCTCAAGGAAATGTATATTGATTTAAGGATCTTTAGACATTTGACTGTATTTTGACTGTATCTGAGCAGTTTCTGCTGTCACTGCAGACGTGATTCAGACCGTGTTTAACACAGCATCAGCGAGCGCACCTGTCACCTTCCCTTAGAGTCTTCATCTGTTTCCCGATCAAGCATGCGAACAGCGGGCCGGTCCTGGCGCCGGACACCGGACGCTCCAGCAGACCTCCCAGCCACACGTCTATGTTGTTCGGATGGCCGTACACATCCATTATTTTCTCCACCAGAACACCACTGCCGACCAGCTCGACGAGATCTGATCTGGTTTCAGCTCTGTCAAATCCACAGAAAGCCCTCCAGTCATTGTAACCTGTAATAGATCAGCCAATCAGATTCAGGTTTTCAGATCACATGCTTATTAAATACCAAATAATAGTAACCACGAAGAATTATACTCTTTAAGTTCTGTAGAAACTGCATACAAAATTATTCCAGTTCAAAAGAGCTGCAGTTGTAGTTCAATTAATGCGACTCTCATGAACTGATTCTTTAGAGTGAATCGGTCAAAACGACTCACGAATCAATTTCAAACTAATGAGTTATTAGTTTGCTTAAGGCTCATTGTGATCAGAGTTTTGTTATCATAAACATTTCTCTAATGAAAAATATTAAACATTAAGTTACACATTTTTTTTTAAAGTAAAATTAATATACTTTTAACTGATTTCCTCAAAAGTCTCAGGTCTATTAATTAATATTAACAGATGCAACATTTGCCTTTAATAATGTAAATTAACACTAACATGAATAAATGTAGAAATATTTTTCATTGTTAATTTGTTATAACTAATGTAGTTAACTATTGTTAACGAGTAGAACCTCATTGTAAAGTGTTACCAATTAATCTATAATAATTATATTAAACAAAAATAATACTTATAATTACTCATAATTAGTATTTTTTATTAAAGAACCAATAATGATTACAAAACACTGATCCGAATGAACCGTAAGCAAACCAATAACTCAGTTTGAATTTGATTTGTGAGTCTTTTTGACTAATTTGCTCAAAAGAATCAGTCACTTAAATGAATCAGTTGCTCTAACTGGACTTCAAATGCAACTGAAAAATATATTAAACATTAAGTTACACATTTTTTTTTAAAGTAAAATTAATATACTTTTAACTGATTTCCTCAAAAGTCTCAGGTCTATTAATTAATATTAACAGATGCAAAATTTGCCTTTAATAATGTAAATTAACACTAACATGAATAAATGTAGAAATATTTTTCATTGTTAGTTTGTTAACTAATGTAGTTAACTAATGTTAACGAGTAGAACCTCATTGTAAAGTGTTACCAATTAATCTATAATAATTATATTAAACAAAAATAATACTTATAATTACTCATAATTAGTATTTTTTATTAAAGAACCAATAATGATTACAAAACACTGATCCGAATGAACCGTAAGCAAACCAATAACTCAGTTTGAATTTGATTTGTGAGTCTTTTTGACTAATTTGCTCAAAAGAATCAGTCACTTAAATGAATCAGTTGCTCTAACTGGACTTCAAATGCAACTGAAAAATATTCAAAAAGACTTAATTATAGTAATTGTACTAAACAATAATAATACTTTTGTTCTTTTGAGGAAATCAGTGCAGGGTTACTGATTAAGTATCTTAATTTTTTTTTTTTTTTCAGTTTTAGTAATTTTATTACATTAAGTAATTTTGAGGAAATCAGACCAGTGCTATTTTAGTATCATCGAGATACTATTATAGTTTTTATAAATATCTTGAATCAGTTTTTATTTAGGTTAGGTTTTCATTTTAATTCATAACATTTTTTAAAGTCTTAGTAATTTTTTGCAATTTCGTGTTTTTGTCATTTTTATTATTCTCTTTTTTAAATATATATAGTTTTTATTAATTTTTATTTCAGTTTTAGTTATTTTAATACATTAAGTTAAACTTCATGAAAATGAGAAATGTTGCATTGGAAAGTAGCTGAAATGAATTTAAAATGTGTTTTATTTTTTTAGTTAAGGTGTATTTTATTTAAAATATGTCAGTAAACAGTAGTGTGCAGTTATTAAATAAAAGAGAAACATTTTGAGGAAATCAGACCTGTGTTATTTTAGTATCACCGTTTTGAATCAGTTGAAAATTTTACATTTTATGTTCAATTTTATTTAAAGTTTTAGTAATTTTGTTTTCATTTATTTTTAAATACATTTTTATTTTATTTATTTTTTACATCCAGTTATTAAATGAAAATGTTGCCTTGGAATCTATAGCTGAAATAAAATAAGTTATTTTTATTTTTATTTCAGTTAAAGTTTATATATATATATGGCTTAGTTTAACCGTAATAACCCTGATGTAATGACCTGGTAAGCCGTGGTCTCGTCCGCGCTGCAGGTTCAGAGCAGCCAGATCCAGAGTCTCTGGGATGTTGAGAACCAGCAGTCTTTCCTTCAGCTCTTCTGTCATGAGATGCTCCTGGTTCTGCAGAGCAGCCGGTCGACCGAGAAGCCCCCGCAGGACCGGATCCAGCCCACCTGCAGAGCGCAGAACATGCTATCAAACACCAGCCATCCCACAAACAGAGTCTGACTAAAAGCTACTTACCTCATTTCCCTGGTAAACAGAAACAACAGTTTTCAGTAAAATGACCTCTAGATATGCAACTGGTCTGAACTTCAAACTATAAATCATTCAGTTACCAACCAAATGAGAGTATTATTCAGTGCTTCATTAATGACTCAGGCAGTAGCAGCAGTAATTATTTAATATTGACATGTTCAATATTTCTGTCCCTTGCCTGGACATGTCTGCATCAATCAGCTCTATAATGTAACTCTCTCTCTCTCTCTCTATATATATATAGAACATACATTTTTGTTACTTGAAATAATAAATGTGAAAACATACATTTTATTTTTCAATTTACATTTTTATTTCAGTTTTAGTAAATTTAGTATTTTCTTTTGAGTATTTATATTTAGCTCTCATTTATTTTTTATTTCAGTTTTATTTTTAGTACTTAAACTTATTTCAGTTAGTTATCAAGGCAAGATTTTTTTTAGGTTTGTTTTATTTATTTATTTAATTGCATCATAACATAACATGACATATACACTTATATTTACAAAGGTTAAGGAAAGAAAGAATATATATATTTTTTTTTCTTATGAAATTGAAATGTATTTTTGTTTCAGTTTTAGTAATTTTAGTACTTCAACATTTCAGTGTTTTAATTTTTTTAAGGTTTTCATAAAAAATTTAGACTATAGTTTTTTAATAAATTTTTAGTTTTAGTTATTTTAGTACATCTTTAGTTAAAGGGGTCATATGATGCTGCTAAAAAGAACATTTTGTGTATTTGGTGTAATGAAATGTGTTTATGCGGTTTAAAATTAAAAAAACACATTATTTTCCACATACTGTACATTATTGTTTCTCCTCTATGCCCCGCCTTTTTGAAACGCGTATATTTTTACAAAGCTCATCGGTCTGAAAAGCGAGGTGTGCTGTGATTGGCCAGCTATAAAATGTGAAATGTTGCCTCTAAATAAAATAAAATAAGTTAAATTATATTGTATTTTATTTCACAATTATTTTATTTCAAGTAACCAAAAATGTATGTACTATATTGCAAATCTCAACTGCCTGTTTTTTTAAAATGTATTTATTATACTTGAATGTGAAATGTTCTAAATAAAATAAAATAAGTTAAATTATATTGTATTTTATTTCACAATTATTTTATTTCAAGTAACCAAAAATGTATGTACTATATTGCAAATCTCAACTGCCTGTTTTTTTAAAATGTATTTATTATATATA